GACCTCTGCTACTGGGCCCATAATTGGATACATCCTTGTAAGGTTTGAGGTGGTTAGCCATTAGATTGGAGCAGCTGTTTAAGCGATATCCTCAATTTAAAATGGCACTCACATACACAGTACTAGTACCTCCCGCCCTGTGGGGCTATCTAAAAGCGAGGTCTGCTATCTTTAACTACCTATATATTTTCCCCTTTTTTTTAAAGAAAGACCTTCAAAATTCCAACAATAAATTAATTGGAGTATTAGCCACAAATTCATTATTAGAAGAACAGTCAGAACAACTTCTTTTGCGTGTTCATTCACTTTCATGTCAACTTTACTCAAAAACAGCTCCACACGAATCAGAAATTATTAAAAAGAAATTGGTTGGAAAAATAAAAATTTTTTCGAAACAAATTTTATTAAAAAAAAGGATAAAGAAATGAGAATGTTTAACACAAAAAATTTACCAATTACAAAATCACAAGCTGAAATTTCTTTATTAAAAGAAGAAAATCTTAAATTAAAAAGTCTTCTAAATTCGGTTCATTCCGAAATTTATGGGGCTCGTTTAGCTGCTAAATATTTGGATAAAGAATTGGCTGGACGGTATATTTAAAATATTTTATAAAAAATTTTTATTAAAAAATTAAAGTTGATTTTTGGGACTTTTAAGGGAAAAAAATTTTTTTGAAAAAAAACTTGCGGACAAATTTTTGCGGACAAATTTTGCGGACTTTTTTTCTTTTGCGGATATTTTAAGAATAAATATTTATTTCATATAGCCGATACCTTCTTTTAGTTTTCTAAACATGTTTTAGGATATTATTTAAGAATTAGAGGTTTAATAGACAAATTACACGATAACCTTCCTCTCGTGGCGCGAACTTTGCGGACCCGAAATTTGCGGAACGAAAGTTGCGGACCCGAAAGTTGCGGACCCGAAGGTTGCGGACACGAAGTTTGCGGACCTGATTTTTGCGGAACCAAGATTTTAGGACCGACACTTGAGTAAAAAGGAAAAATTAAATATTTTATTTTTCGATGATTCCGGCAGAGTTTACCATGATCCGTACCAGACTCAAAATTTTTTCTCGATTTTTCAAAATTTTATCAATTTATTATCTTAAAATTATTTCATAATTTAAATAATCGAGAAAATTCCTTAAGGAAGTCATTTATATGGCCATCTCATAAGGTCATGATGCCTAAATTCATCCTAATTAACGCCGCAGACTAAAATTTTTGAGATTTCCGAGATTCAGTAGACTCTATTGTCGGTCCGCAAATTTTTGGTCCGCAAATCTCAGATCCGCAAAATTCGGGTCCGCATAGTTCGGGTCCGCAAAATTCGGGTCCGTTAAGTTCGGGTCCGCAAATTAAAATCCGCAAATTTCGGCGCGCCCCTTCCTCTATAAACAAAAGAAATGAAAAATCCGCAAATTTTGTAAAAACTTTTTTTTTAATTTAGAATATAAGAACAAAATTTTTCTAATTTTAGTATTCAACAAATTCAATTATTGGGGCGTAATATGCGAGGTATAAATTTTTTATGACTCATAACTAAAGAAAATATTAAAAAAATAAATTTCAAAAATTTGCGGATTGTCCGCAAAAAATTTGCGGACAATTTTAAAAAAATTTTGCGGACTTTTGAAGAGGACTTCTTTGAGGGCACTTTTCTTAATTTTAAAATTTTCTTTGTTTTTCTAGGTTCTCAATACGATAGTCTTTGGAATCGTTTAGAATCTGAAATTCATTTGAATAGACACAAAACTTTTGTTAAGACTTGCTAGTAAATTAAAAAAAAATTTTTTTTCAAAAAAAATTTCTTTAAGCGTTCCAGACGTTAAAGATTTTTTGAGGCAACAAAAGCCATCAACTTCAAAAAATAAAAATTCTTCTCTCCATTCCAATAAAAAATGCTTGCCAATATTCCCCCTTATGTCGCCTTGTTCCCCCTCGTCTTCTAATAATTCTGAGACTTCTACATGCAATAGTTTGTGTGAACAGCATTTTGAAAGGGTGAATTTTTTAAATTAATTTTTAATTAGTTTTTAAAATTTTCCTAAATTTAAAAAAATTTTTAATTTTTTTGCGGCACAGTTTTGCGGACAAAAAAAATCCGCAACTTTTTTGCGGACAAAAAAAATCTGCAATTTTTGTCCGCAAATTTTTTATTCAATTTTTCAATAAAACAACTTTCTTCTCCTTTTTTATTTGCCTAAAAAGTTTGTTTTTAAATAAAATCGGGCCTCCCTTTAAGAAAATTGGAGCGGAAGAATCAGTTATTCTCTGAAAAAAATTATTTTGATACTTGCGGACAAAAGTTGCGGACATTCTCGAACTCCCTTGGAATTCTAACTCTGGATACTACCTTTTTTATTTATTTTATTACCAAATTACTATACATTTAGAGTGCTTTTTTCATATTTTAATAAATTTCAAATTTTGTCCGCAAAAAGTGTCCGCAAATTTTATTTGTCCGCAAAAATTGTCCGCAAATTTTAAAATCCATTTTTAGCCTATCAACAAAACTTTAAAAGAAATTAATTCTTGTTCTCCATCATCTTCTGTCTCTTACGAATCGGCTACAGATGAGTGTAATAATAGCAGTAATATTAAGCTGTGTTTAGAGGAATCTTTAAATGTTAGAGAGGAAGTTAATGGCAAATAATTAGGGTAAATAGGAAGTAGGGGAAATTATTTAAAAATAATTTAGTGACCTTATAGTATATTCGATAATAATTAATTTTTATATTTATTTTTTGTTTTTTAAATTATTTTTAATTTTTCTGCCTTTTAATTGTGCCACTTATTATTATAATAAAATATTATTTTGCGGGATTTTGGTGGGTTTTTCATCTTTTAATCACCCAACTAGCATTAAAAAAAATTCTAGAGGTTCATAATTCACCATATTTTTATTTTACAAATTTGAATATTCTAAAAGCAAAAACAAGTCAGTTATCGACAAATAGAGTCGAACCGGAGACCTCCAAAATTTGTTATGTAGTTCTCCGGTAACTCCTGTAAACCACTTAACCATGGAGTCCCACTATACTATGTGTTAGAGCCTGGACCGATACGATATTTTTTGATATTCGGTTTCGATATTTATCGAAAAATACAGACCGACCTCTCCGTCTGGGCTCTACTATGGGGACCAAATCCGTGCCGGACAAAGCTTCTACATGTTTTACCCAGGGAAATCAACGCTTTTGTTTAAATAAGTTGATAAAAATAAGCCTGTCTCTAGTCCCTTCTAGGAATTCTTCCAATGATTTTCCAGTTTACAAAATTTATTTTAAAATTTGCTAAAAAATTATTTTAAAAATTAAAAAAAATTTATTTTAATTTTAAAATAATTGTCTTTACCCAAATTCTTCCAAGAAAATAAATTTTAGATCTTCAAATAAAGCTTTCGTCCCTCTTTCCAAGAAAAAAATGATGAGGACCTCAAGGGAATTTCTTAAAACAACAGACTGGTTGTGAGGAAGGGCACTCATAAATACACTCAATGGCCCACTTTTCAAGAGTCTTTTCCTTTTTGATTGGCCTTTTTTAATTTTTTTTAAAATATTTTTGGTAATTTTTATTGAATATTTTTTATCTCAATTTATTAAAAATAAATGTCTTGTGTCTTTGTAAAGTAAACCTCTATTTAATGCACCCCCTCTATAAGGGACAACTTTTCTATAAGACATCCCTATTTTTTACAGTCTCATATCTTGTATTTAAAAAGAGTTGCTTCGCTTTTATTTTTCTCTATGACATTTAAATAGGGTAGCACCCCGTCCCCGACAAATTTTTAGACAAAAGGTCCCAACTCGAACCCTGAAGACTATCCCGTCAACCCACGATCCCCGACACCCACCCCCGTGTGGGCAAAACCCCGACCCGACCTTCGAAACCCCGCCCTCGAAACCCCGACCCCAACGTTTTCGTCCCCGAAGATCGGGGCGCTACCTTACTTTTACACATATTGGATTTTGATATGCACCATAAAACATCTACATATATTGTTTTTTAAAAACAAACATATCCATTTTTGTTTATTTTAAAAGAGTTAAAAAGCAACTTCCCTCATTTTCCTCCTCTTTACTCGTGTGAATTAACACACTATTATAACATAGCTTTTTTGGTTAAAGTCTCACTTTCAAAGAAATATGTATTTTCCCTTTTTTTAACCCAAAACTGCCAAAAAACTGCCAAAAAATCTTTTTTTGTTTGTTTTTATTCATTGCCTTTCCATTTTTTCCTAATGTCAAGCAACAACTTTCAAAAAAATTTTTGGAAGGACAAAAGTAAAAAAATAGGGAGGGCAGAGTTTGAGTAATTATTCATTTTAAAAGGACAATTGAAAATACTCTAGGGATTATTTTCTGTTTATTTTACTGAAAATTTTAATTTTTAATAATATACAGCCATTGCTAATTTTTAAACGCATTTTGCCATTTTTCATTGTTTTGAATAGGGTTGTTCCCCGACGCGGGGGAAGGCCACGGGGAACAATTTTCGGGGAGGGAGCCATGGGGGGACGGGGAAACCTTTTTTACGTGGGGAGACGGAGACGGGGAGTTTTCAAAAAAATCTCTCAAATTTCCCAACTTACGGGGACTGTGAACAACTCTAGTTTTGAAGATCATTAAATTTCGGGATATTTGCGTAAATTATTACTTAACAAAACGCTAGGAATTAGAATTACCCTTTCCTCAAAATTTTAGAAAAATTTTTGAATGTTAGAAAATCATTAGGAAAAGGTCAATGTCGCGCTAGATGTGATAATTAATCGTGAGTAATTATTTAAGATAAAATTTTAACATATTTTTTCCTGTGTTTTCAGTTACAGAAAAATTTGTTCATATTTCCTAAGTCAAATTAATCTTTCGATTTTTGTTCAAAAATATTTTTTAATTTATATTTAGTTAATTTATTTTAAGGATATAATTTCAATCGTTTAATTTATTTATTAATATTTTTGCCATAAAAATTTATTATTAAAAAATAAAATGACCATGGAGGATTTATCCCCAACAAATTCGCATCTTTTAAGAACTACCTTTAGAGATGCTGAAAATAGTTTCACAAAAGCTTCAACATTTCATTCTAACCTACCTTCCCCCGAATGGTTTGAAACTTTGGAGAATGAATTTGACAAAGCTTTTGTTGATTTGGATGTGCTGATTGGGGAAGTTGAACAGGAAAATGTGAAAAGAATTTTTTGAAAATTTAAAATAAAATAATTCTATAGCAGTCCGAATTAATTTTTGAATGCCGTAGGCGTTTAACGCTTATTAGTGGTGTGTTTGCCAAATTTGCTCAAAAAGTTCAAGTTATTTGCCAACAAAATTACGACTTTAAGGTAGCTAAGGGAATTTATTTGGAGGTAAACATTGACAGGAGAAAGCACCTTTCTATCTATTTGAACACAATCGGACCTTACTTTTAGCTACTACTAGAGAGGTGCTTTAAGATTTGATTGCCCGCTGGGCCCTATAAGATGCAAGCAAAACTATATACCCTTCTATTTAATAAACATGCTTTTAGATTGGTTGGTCATTGGGTAAGGGCGTTCGTTCAAGAGATACCCTCAGTTTAAAGTACCCTTATTATAAGATACGGACTTTACTATAAGATCCAAGCAGAACTAGATACATCCCTATTTAATAAACATGTTTTAAGTTAGTTGTCTGGGTAAGGGCCTTCAAGGGATCTCTCAATTTAAGATACGCCCCAATAAAAGGTAGAAATTTTTCAACCTCAAGGGGTATCTTATAGTGATCTTCGAGTATTTTAAGTTTATTTTCTGGGTCGGAATGTAGTTTAGTCTAAGGATGATTAGCCTAATATTAGTTTCTCCTCTCATCCATAATCCATTAAAGCTTAAAATTTCCAAAAATTTCTTTTTAAAGAAAGACCTTCAAAATTCCAACAATAAATTAATTGGAGTATTAGCCACAAATTCCTTATTAGAAGAACAGTCAGAACAACTTCTTTTGCGTGTTCATTCACTTTCATGTCAACTTTACTCAAAAACAGCTCCACACGAATCAGAAATTATTAGAAAGAAATTGGTTGGAAAAATAAAATTTTTTTTGAAAAAAATTTTTAATTAAAAAAAAGGATAAAGAAATGAGAATGTTTAACACAAAAAATTTACCAATTACAAAATCACAGGCTGAAATTTCTTTATTAAAAGAAGAAAATCTTAAATTAAAAAGTCTTCTAAATTCGGTTCATTCCGAAATTTATGGAGCTCGTTTAGCTGCAAAATATTTGGATAAAGAATTAGCTGGACGGATTCAGCAAATTCAATTGCTTGGTCGCAATATGAGAGGTACTCTAAACATGTTAAGGATTTCGAACCGGGGATATCTAATTCTAAAGGTATCATCTTGTTCTGAGGATCAGAGTTCGTTTGGAATTCCAACTCCCGGTTTCCGAAAATTTAGGAAACTTTCCGAGTTCTGCTTTTGAGCCATTTCCGATTTCCGACAGTTCTGATTTCCGGCACCTTTGTCATTCCCATCTACCTCTGCTGAGGATATTTAAAAGCAAAGGCCTTGAGTCCGATCTCATTTTGTTAGAATAGGCAATGCTTTCTTAACTCAATCGAGCGACGACCGGCATCTAATTAGATAGGACTGAGACGATATCTCAAACAAAATCAGTTATTTCTTATAAAGATAAAGTATTGGCCTCACTCACATGATTAATTCATTATGAATTTTTTAAGGAGCTCAGCATGATCGTCTTTGGAATCAATTAGAAGCTGAGATTCATCTTAATAGACACAAGACAGTTATTAAAGCTTGTCGGTAATTTGTGATACTATTTTTATATTTACTTGGATATCTAAGTGTGGTCGATGTGAACAACATTGTGAGACGGAAAAATTTTAATGAAGTATCTAAGACCGAACCTTTCATTTTCCAAATATTTTTTAGAATCCCAAAGCCTCTCCTTCCGTCTATTTTGACAAAAGGGGCGTCGGAAAGACTCGACGCATTCATCTCCATTTGGAAGATAACGAAGGCCTGGGTATTTCTATTACGGGAGGAAAAGAGCATGGAGTCCCTATTATTATTTCTGAATTACATTCTGGGCAAGCTGCAGAATCAAGTGGAAATTTGTTTGTTGGAGATGCTTTACTTTCTGTTAATGGAAAAAGTCTTAATAATTTGAAGCATTCACAAGCTGTGAAAATTTTAAATAAAGAGGTGATTTTGAAAGTTAAACGTTTATCAGGCCGACTTTACTGACTGACATTTACTACAAACAAAAATAGAGTTAAACATAAATAGATGGCCGTTGAATTTTATCTAGTGTTCTGCACAGCTTGGTGCAACGATACTGACAGCACCACAAGAAGCGCGGGGTTTGGCGACTCCCATAGGTTTGGTTGACCATTTCGAGCCTCTTTTGATCTTGCAAATAAATGAGTCAGTACTAGTAGGATACTCAGTACTAGTAGGTAACGATACTTTTTGGCACTTTTCGGTACTAACGGTAACGAAAAAATCCATTTACCGACAATAGTTTTATCGGGTATCTCAGTCTACCATATCTAATTATTTTTTGTGGTATAGTACTCCTCAATAGCTATAAAATAAAGCATTTTTTAATCCATTCTCTAAAAGATGAGGGAATGCAATGAAATCTTGCTTGAAGTGATATTAATAAAACCTGATTTTGATAGCGATGATGGGCTAGACGATATTACAGAAACTTTAAGGCAAGATTATAATTAAAGTTTATTAATTGTTAGATTAGTTTGAAAGGTGATCAACTAACTGATGATATTATTAAATCTAATAAAAAACATAACTTAACGGGCTTCAATTCACCTTCATCTTCCTCCTCTAATTTTATTAAATACAATAATTTTTGTGAAAAGAAACCTCAGGTCAATATTAAACTAAATTTTGGCAGTAAGAGAAATAATTATGAAAAGTATTCTGATATAGGACCGGTTACCCATAATCAGTAAATTTTATAAGCTAATGAAAGACAGCTAGAGGGAGAGTAGACAATAGAGATCGAGATTTTTGAAAAGCCTGGACCTGGGACTCTGGAGTTTGATTCTTGACCTGGATTGGATCCTGGGCCTGTTGTCCAGGAAGGAAAACCCCAGGAAGGGTAAAAAATGCCTGGACCTGGACTCTGGGTACAGGAAAAACCCAGGCCTTGGTCCAGGTCCAGCTTCATCACGAGTGGACAACTGAGAGCGCATTGAGTCCAATCAACTTTTCAATGAGACAGTCATCCCTCAATCAGTCTTATCACTCATTTAATCGCTCTAAAATAGTTAGGTTTATCTCTCATTTGCCACCGATTCTCAACTCCACGATTTAGGCTCTATTATACGACTAGGGATGGCGTTCAGACACTTTCCTAATAGCTCCTTAAAATTCAATTTTTAGCAATCCAAAACAAAATTTCCACAATCATCCTGCTCGGTTTCATCATTATCTTGTGATTCATCAACATATGAATCTGCTAGTGGTGAATGTACTAGTGACGTTAAACTTAACCAGACTGGATTTTTAATCGAAGAATTAAAGGTTAATGACAAAAATATGTCATTATCTAAGTTTGATAATTATAATGATGCTTTTGTTTAAATGTTTAATTTAATTTTATGTATGTATTAATTATTTGAAGTATTCAGAAAAAATTTTTTCCAAATTAATTAGATTCCTTTTGAGTGAATAGACTAAACTTCACTCATTAAGTGAGACAATGCCATTAAACAATATTTTGAAGGTTTATCTTCTTGAATCAGAATAGGTCAGAATCTGAGTTCAAAAGATGGAGATATGATAATATTTTACAGATATCCCTAGGTCCGAAATTGACGAATACCTCGCAAAATTTTTAAATATTGTCAATTTCGGACCTATGAATATCTATAAAATACTATCATAACTCCTTTTTTGAACTCAGCATAGGTCAAAACCTATTCTGATTTAAAAAGATGAAAACTCTCAAAAAATTGTTTTCCAAAAAATGAGAAATTTCTTTTGAGTGAATAGACTAACATTCACTCATTGAGTGAGGCAATATCATTTTAAGCTTGTTTATAGATCCAGCACTTTAGTTATTATAATTAATATAATATTATTTTTAATATAAATTATAATAATTTTTTTTATATTAGTCTTAATTAAATCATGTAGCCTCAATAATTAAAATAACACAACTTTCTAACTAATTTATCACAAGAGTAGTTTAAATGACAGCAAAAATGTGTAAATTAAAAGAGAATAAGAATTCAGAAAATTAAAAACTAATACAAATTGTGCTAGAAAGAATAAAAATTATAGTGACATTGGAACTTGTTTACTCTAGATTAGTTCATGACTTTCACCAGGAGTGGGCCGTGAACGTTAAACCAAGAATTTTACGTGTTACCAATCAAATAAAAATTTAAAAAGTATAGAAAGATGACAGAATGTTAAAAGATTGAAATGAAATTTGTATTATGACAAAACTTTAAAAATGGGCATAGTAAATGTAAAAATAACCCCTTGGTAGTTAACTTGCCGGTTATACTATACTTGCTCTGACTAGAGAGGTTCTAATAAGAATAAGGGGAATAAAAGTTCCTTAACAAAAAATCCCTAATTGACTTTAGAAGTTTTTCCAGTTTTTATTTCAAATTTTGCTTGTAAAACTGAACTATTCGCTGAAGTAGCTAATTGTATCCATAGCTAAACCTAACCATAGCGAAACCTACCTACTATATTTATTTAAGTTTTGTCATAATTTTGGAAAAAGTCAGCAATATCTAGAGTTAAGATCGGGACCGGATACGGGTCGGGATTTTTGGGATCCGGTATTCCTGATACGAGTATTTTGATAAAAATCGGGGATTTCGGGATTTTGATCCCGAAAATCCGGTCCGGATAAAAAATTCAGAACTCTAGTAATATCTACTCTTGTCGTTTTGTTTCCAAGCTAGCATAACTCATCAAATATGTTTCTCGCATCCTGGTGTATACCTTTATTAAATATATAAATTAATATAAAAGTATCTTAATATTTTGGTTCCTACTTCAATTGCCTGAACCAGATCCACGATGTCCAGCTCCGAGACGCTGTCCACGATGGCTCTGAGCAGGTTGCCATTGTACACGATGGCTCTGATCAGGTTGCCCTTGTCCATGATGGCCTTGTTCGGTTGTTCCCGCACCTATAATAAATATGTTAATCAAAAAAATAATTTTTTAAATTCTGGTTTATTAAAAAACAATTGGTTCTGCTCGTTATATAATAAAACTGCCATATATAGACATATCACAATTAAAATGTAAATCTATTTTTAATTTAAACTTCCGGTTGAGGATTGCACTGGAATATAGTACATTAAAGTCAATTACCGAAATTTCTATTGACATAGTTATATAATCCTTGCATTTTTTCTAAAGCTTCGTTTTGATTTCTTTTGCACCCACGAAGAACCTTTTCATATTGCTCTATTTCTTTTTGAATCATGTCTGTGTCGTAGTCAGGATTGTTCTAACAAAATAGAAATTAAACTTATATAAGTAATTGGATAAAATCATTTTCATCACTCTATTATTTAGTTAAATCTCGGCTTTTTCAACTCTCGATAAGGAAAGTTTAAATGTTTATATAGTACATAATAACAATTTTCATTGCCAAATAAAATATGTTTTATGTAAAAAATGTTATTTTTACTTGATTTTGTTTTAGTCCATTTTTACAATGATTTAAATAGAGTTCGTGGTTATCGTATTCCGTTGAAAAATACTCATATTGTTTTACATGATCTCCATATTGTTCTTTAAAAATGGCGTGTTGCGAGGGTGAAATGTCTTTTATAGTTAAATAAAATATTTTTATAAATTTAAATAAAATTACCAACACGTTCAAGCAAAGAACTAATTTGTGCCTTCAAGTGATTGAAAGCCTAATAAAAATATTTATATATTTGTTTTTACAATAATGATACTAACCATATGTTTTGCTGGTTCTTGCGATCCTGAGCCTTCTCCTGGATTCATTCCAAACAGTAATGGAAACAATTGAAGAAAATAAAAATTTAAAAGAATTAAATTGTAAATTTTCATCTTTAATTATATTTTAAAATTTATGTAAATTAATTTCGATTTAAAATATATTTTTTATACTTGTGTTTTTATATTTAAATGTTCAGATTTAAGTTTGCTATATCGAATTTAAATATATGTAGCACTAATAAAATCTTTAGTTTTAATTAAAATAATCTCTTTAATTTTAATATAAACAATATGTTGTATTCTTTGACAGGCTTGGTTGTCTAAGCTTGTCTTAGTATTCTTACTGAGGAAAAATTGCAGAGAATTAAACACTGTTTGTTAGTCTGGAAAGAAGATTAATAGGCTGCTCGAATGTTTATTGAGGAATAAATCTCTCCTTTTATCACAATCAGCTGCGCGCGTCAACACTGCTCATTTTTAATTTTTAACCCTATAAATCGAAATTTCGAAAAAATTGAATCGAAATTTCGAATTTATATCTTAGAGCAAATAGACTCATGATTAATTGTTCTCTCCTCTGTAAAAAAATTTAAAAATTTATTTAAGTAGTTTGTATTAAAGGGCATTCTTAGCCTTTCCTTTTTTACTGTCTATTTCCGCTGTTTAATTTTTTAATGTATATTTTGCAAAAAATATTTTAAAATTAAAATTTATATTTAATAAATTTTGAATAATGTTTCCATTAATCATGTACAAAGTTTAATAAACAGAAATAGCTATATAAATATGCTTAAACTGCTAAACTTTTATTGAGAACCTGATATTCGAGGATATTCATTTATTAAAGTGCAATCAGTCAATATTATGAAATATATGGCCTCATTAATTGAATGACCCTTCTTTGGGGTTCAGGATCTCAACTATATCGGTAGAGATCCTGATCCGTTTAACCTTAATTTGGAGTCTCACGGAACTTCATAAAAAATTTTCATTAAATTTATTCGAATACTAAATTTAAAATTAAAAAAGACTAAACAGTAAATTTTACATTAAATAAAAATTTTGGAATGAAAACTCCGAAAAATATTCATTGGGGTTCTTATAATTATGGAACAAACTCTTCTTCCTTCTTCATTGTTCACCACCTTTAAATGTTCACCACTTTTCTATAAATTTGTTCTTTTGATAATTATCATAACTATCAATTTCACTTTCAAATAAAATTTTATCATAAAGCTTTTGAAGAAGTTTTGAATGTTTAATTAATTCTTTCTTCT